TCACAGGCTGTGTCGGTGGCTGTGACGTCCTCACCCCTTTGCCAGCGTTGTCTTCCACACTTCAGATAGCTCTAAACCCTGAGCAGGGATATTTTACTGAGCTGAACCTAGATCGTCTAGGTCCAAAGCTGAGCTCTTGCTTGATCCCCACAAGGGTTTGTGTATAGCACAGCTGTGCCTTCCTTTACCACCCAATCCCCATTTTAATCTCACTGTAAACATACTGGTTTCCTGAAATGTTTACTAGGGCCTGAGCAGTGCTGCATGCCTGTGATCCCAGTGATTTGTGCAGCTGGGGCAGGATGACCGACAGTTGAGACAGCTTGGGACTGCTGCTCTTCCGGAGATCCGAGTTCAGTTCCCAGCACTCACCCTGGACAGCTCACAACTGTCTGCATTTCCAGCTCGTGTCTGCTGGCCTGTGGGGCCACTACATTCCGATGTACAGATACACATAAAAAAATGTTTGGGAAAATGTGGCAAGACTGTTTCAAACAAAACATTGAGCACAGCGGTGTTTTTTTTTTTTTTTAAAGATTTATTATGTATACAATGTGTGTCTGCGTGTACACCTGCATGCGAGAAGAGAGCACCAGATCTCATTATAGATGGTAGTGAGCCACCATGTGGTGGCTGGGAAATGAACTCCTGACTTCTGGAAGAGCAGCCAGTGCTCTTAACCTCTGAGCCATCTCGGCAGGGAGGAACGCTTTCTGTCTCCCAACCAGAGTTCAACCTCAGCTCATGGAGGGCTATCGTTACCAAGTGAGGCAGCTCTAACTGGAGAGCCCTTTTTCTGGTGATTTTGGTAATTTTACGGAAAAAGAATTTACAAATTAAACCTTAACACTACCAATAACGTCTCAGATCTTTGTGTTTTCTCGGTGTCGCAGGAGACTAGCACAGCTGTAACCAGCTTGTCACAGTGAGGATGTTTTTGAACTGCTGTCTGTGGGCTGCTTTCCACACTGTGAGGAAGGGGAGGCAGCACCATGGGGACCACGGGCTCTCCACAACTGTCCAGAACTCTTCCTCAGAGCACAGGTCTGGCAAGGCCAAGGCAGACTTTAGAGATATTACCCTGGAGCTCTGGAAGGGCATGTGGAGTAAGGGACAGAGAGATCCACCATCAAAGCACCTCGTACACCTGCTCGATGGCAGTTTTACTTAACTAGGCCGGGGTCAGGTGAGCAGGTCTAGAGAACAGTCAAGGGAGGCAGCTGATGAACTTGCAGCCGAGAGTTCAGGGCTGAGTAACTGTGTCCCAAAACCATAACCTATGCACAGGCCCAAACACGGAATTTTAAGGAGCATAGCTATTACCATGTTGTATTTACCATGGCTCCAATATGCAACTTAGGGAATCAGTGCAGGACTATATGCAACTTCTATGTGGGTCTGCTTTGGCCCATGGCATGCATGCCTGGCAATGGTTACTGCTGTACACATTTTCTGCATCTTCTTTCATTTATTTTGGATGGGGGCGGGGGGACTGTTTCGAGACAGGGTTTCCCTGTGTAGCTCTGGACTCTGTAGAGCAGGCTGTCTTTGAACTCACATCGATCCTCCCCCAGTCTCTGCCTCCCTGGGTGCTGCTATCAAAGGCATGCGCCACCATACCCAGTTTCTATTTTTAACGGATAATGTATCATGAAGTTTATTCCACAGCACTCAGGAATATGATGATCACTATACTTTTGTATACTTTTGGCAAGTTTTGAGGGGGGGTGTGAGGACCTCCAATTTTGTGGCTTTAAGATCATTTCGGCTGGGGCTGGAGAGATAGCTCAGTGCTTTCTGCTCTTCCAAAGGACCTGGGTTCAATTCCCAGCACCCACATGGCAGCTCACAACTGTCTGTAAGGCCAATTCCAAGGGATCTGACATCTTCACACTAATGCACATAAAATAAAAATTAAATAAAACTAATTAAAAACAACCATTTCTGCTCCTCTGGGTCCTTAGCATTTTTATGTGAATTTAAGAATCAGACTGTCAATTTCCACAAAACAACAACAAAAAACAGCAGATATTTTGATAGGGAATGTCCTGAATCTGTTTTTCGGTGTGATAGTGTTTCTGTGTTGTTCTCAGTCTATCTTGGGATGTCTTTCCACATCCCTGAGGTCTGTTCCCCCCGTTTTCCTGATGACCGGAGTTAGATTCCGTAGATTCTAACAGTCTTGAGGAGACTTGCTTCCTATACATTGCCCTCTGACCTCCACAGGAGCTGTGGCACGTGTGTCCACACACACAGATAATGTAGCAGATTAGAAGTTTATGACTGTGTGCACACAGCGGAGGTAAGTTTTCTGCATTTGTTGGCTCTGGGGACTGAACTCCCGTCATTAGGCTTCCTCAGCAAGGCCTTTACCACTGGCCCATCTCGCTGCATCTGAGTCACTGACTTTATGCTGCAGTTGCCACTGTTTTAAAAGAATTTCTAGAACAAAATCATGTTGGGTATAATTTTCTCCCTTTCTAATCTAGATGCCTTTTCTCTTGGTTACAATTTAAATAAAGTGTTTAGTCATTATGAAGGATATATACTTTGGGCTGGAAAGATGGCTCAGTGCTTAAGAGCACTGGCTGCTCTTCCAGGAGTCCTGAGGTCAATTCCCAGCAACCACATGGTGACTCACAACCATCTATAATGAGGTCTGGTGCCTCTTCTGGCCTGCACACGTATATACAGCTAGAGCACTCACACACATTAAATAAATAAATAAATAAATAAATAAATAAATAAATAAATAAATAGGATATGAACTTTAAGTTTCTCATAAATGTTTTTGAAGTTCTTTTCCTGTTTATTTTCCTGGTAATTATTAGATGGTATGGGTGTTTCAAGACAGAGTTTCTGTGTAGCTCTGGCTGTCCTGGAACTCCTGTAAACCAGGCTTGAATTCAAGATATCTGCCTGCCTCTGCATCCTGAATACTGGGGTCAAATGTCTATGCTATTTGTTGTCCTTTTTTTTTTTTTAATCAATACTGTTTCAAGAGAGACATGTGACTTTTGCATGTCATGTTAGCATGCTATGACACGTCATTTTTGGATGTAGGACTGGTTCTAGGAGAAATCCTAGTATTGCACTATCCCTTTGAATGCTCTTGGGTTGGGTTTGCGGGTATTTTGTCAAGAATGTCCACATTATTCTCTTGAGAGGCTGTCCTCTTTCTTGTTGTTCTGTGGCTTCTAAGGACTGAATTCAGGGCGTTGCACCTCTAAGCAAGCATTCTACCACAGTCTCATCTACGGTTTGGGATTTTCTTTTCTTAGGTAACTAAAAGAAAAAAAGTATCTGTTTCTTTCTACATTCACGTGTGTGGGTGTGTTACCTGCATGTGTAGGTCTGTGCACATGTGTGCCTGGTGCCGGCAGAGCACAGAAGAGAACATGGTAGCCCCTAGAGTGGAGCTAGATACAGCTGTAAGCGGCTGTGTGGGTCCTGAGAATCCAAAGCAGGTTCTCGGGAAGGCCACCCAGCTGCTGAGACCGCTCTCTGGCTCCCTGGCCTTCAGTGTCAGCACAGCCTTGTCTGTCTTTTGTATCAGAGCAACAGTGGCTTCAGAGTAGTGTGCTTCTTCCTCCATTTTCTTCGAGTGTGTGAGGGAGGTGTGTCTGTGTGTTGTGTATTGTGTATGCAGAGAGGTTAGAGAGCAACTTGCAGGAACTGGTTCTGTCTTTAACAACATAGGGCCCAGGACTGAAGTCCGGGACCGGGCTTGGCAACAAGCTCCTTCACTCCACGGAGCCATGCATGCCACTTGCCCAGGGCTGCTGTTTTGGTGAATTGTTCTGGTAAATCCAGACAGCTCCCGCTTTGCCGCAGAGAGGGTTTTCAGATTACTTACAGCATCTGTGTTTGCTGTATACCTAGTCCTACCTTGTTTCTGAGCCAGTTCTGGAAGGTTTCTTTCTGGGAATTGATACATTTATGTATTTGTTAGTTTACAGTTTGTTGTACTCCTCAACTGTCTTATCAATGGTCTTATTTTCTTGAAGATTAGGAGTGATGGCTGCCCCTTTCGTTTCAGATCTTAATCATCTGTCTTCTCTCTCTTTAGACTGAATCTCATAGGATAGCCCAGGCTGGCCTTGAACTTGATGCTTCTTGCCTCCTGATGCTGAGACTACAGCTATGAAACCAAATACCCACAGGTGCTTTTTGAAATTTCAGCTAGTTTGGAGTTCTTAGCTCTGTTCGTGTTTCAAAGAACTTGTTTTTAGTGTCAGTAACACTCTCTACTGGCTATTTCATCTTTTATCTTCCCCATAATATATTATATTTCTTGGTTTCTTTTTGGCTTCAGCATACTGTTCTTGTATTGCTGCTTAAGGTAGAAGTCCTGCTCTAATCTGAGGTCATTCTGGTTTTACAGGAGGCATCTACTGATACAGGGTTAGCATTCTTTGAGATGCCTGGTACCAGATCATGCCTCAGGAATCAGACTTTGGAATATCTGAGGTAGGCTTTAACAACTCAAGCAACTCTCATCTGAAATGGATTAAAAAGATCCCCCTCTCTGTATTTTTTAACATGTCAGTCTCCCCCAAGTTATAGTATCCTTTTTTACCAGGCTGGCCTTGAACTCAGAGATCCTGAGTGCTGGGATTAAAGGCATGTACCACTGCCCAGCAGTATCCTATTTTCTTTCAAAACTTCACTTCAAATACTTAAAATTTTGCTATGATTTCCTAAAACACCATACCAGAGTTATAATGATCATACCTCCCCACTGTGCTGGACTGTCTTGCCTAGTTAACACGAGAGTTCTTGATTTAAAAAAGTCACAGTTCAGTTGGTTCTAGAAAGAATAGATGTATCTTCCAACACACCTATTTCTCTGTGTTGTACCCTACACTAAATAGAACTGTCTTTATCCTATAGAAAACTGAACTGGAACTTAAGCTAGACATTGTGTCCCGTTGCCTAATGAGAATCCAGGCTTCTGACTAGGTTTCTGCATCTTTTCTCAAGTCCAAGAAAGAGAAAAATTATGCAACAAATTTTATTTAGCCCAGTCAGTCCCAACAGAGCAAAGGAAGCTTACAGAGGGTAGAAAGTGCATTAATAAAAGCCAGTCTTTACCCAAAGGAAACAGAAAATATATTATTGATTCAAAATATTTAACACTCGGATGATAAACTGCAATAACTTATTCTGGGTTCTACTGATGAGAAAAAGGAAAAGAAGAAAAGAATGCTTTATGAAGAGGTCAGTCTCCAGCTGATACCAGAAGTCAGTAGAGGTCACTAAGACCCGCGGTCTTTCTTGCCTTTTGCATTAGTGCCCTTAGCTGGAACTGTTTACGGGACAGCAGGCGGACGTGCTAGGAAGGAAGAGAATGTTAATAGTTTAGAATGACTTTGATCCTGGCATGAGGTCAGAGAGCATCTAGCAATCCTAAATACATACAGCAACCTCTGGAACCATTATCTCATTATACATGGCTTTAAAAACTCTTACTACGTCTCAGGGTCTGGCTCAGGGTGCTTCGTTCTGCTTTGTAACCACTAGTTAAGTGCAATATCCTGAGACGTTTCCCCAGCCCCTAGCTACATCTTGAGACACCAAGATGCCAGGTAAACACACTGCAAGCTTAACACAGTTACTCAACTGTCCCTTTACCAAGAGAAAAGGAAGAAACAAGCTACAGAGAAATGGAGCTAACTCTGGTCCTAGTCAATTCCTCAAAAACAGCTTCCTTCTCTTGCCTCTCAATTCTTTTCTTCTGCAACGCCACCCGGCCAAAAGACAGTGGCAGGGAGCCGTCTCTGTGATCTCTAGTTTATGCCCAGTCATTCACATTGTTTGCATTAGACCCAAGGTACATGGTGCAGCCACTCACCCAAGTGCCCTACCTGGCTTGCATGAACACTGAGGTGTCACCAGAAGCCAGCCCAAATACAGAGTGGCTGGCTACTATTCCTAAGCCGATATTCTCCATGACCCAACAGACAATAATGAGCAAAGCTTACTAGATCTTCAGGTCTGTATAGTGTTAGCAAGCCAGAGATAACTGCACTAAAATGGGTAGTTAGCCCACTTCCTTCTAGGACTATCTGATCTGGGAACTGACCTAGAATTATCCAACCCTAAGACTATTAATGGATTAAAAACAAAACAAAACAAAACAAAACAAAACAAAACGGGGGTGGGCAATAATCTCAAATGTAGGTGGTGTGACGCAGAGAAGGAATGGCTATCTGAGGCGCCTTCTGACCCAGGCAAGCAGAAGGAAGTCTGCAGTGGTGCTTATCAATGAACCTGCAGACTCCAGTGCCCTGCAAGTTGAGGAAGGATGCCTACCTTCAGGAACACATCCAGGTCTATTACTCCCCGCCTCAAGGCTTCTCCCAGGTAAAAGATAGTGTCTTCAATAGCATTTTCCTCTGCATACAGATTTAGAATCTGTTTATAGAGTGGGGCTGTGGGAATGATAACTTCATCAATATCATTATTTTCAGACTGATTTTCCATTTTCTCCAGAGCAGAACTTAGTTCTTCATCCTTCTTTTTCAAAAGTTCTATGTTTTTATCAACTTCAGCCTGAAAACAAAACAGTCCATGCATAACTTTATGCTGTTTTGCACACGATCGCCTGCTGTGACACATCTACAACGCAGCCTCAGGGTATTTTAAGCAGCTGACTGACTGACCTTCCCAAGAACTTACTGGGTGAATGTGAGAAGGATGGTGGAAACTCCCTAAAATGGGCACGATCATGAGCGTGACACATGGTGCTAGCAACTGGACTGTCAGACGCGCACTTTCAGAAAGAAAGTCCCTCTCCACAGACAACCACAAAACAAGAACTTCCATATGTAAATGATTCAATCCCCGAGCTACAGCGCTTTCTCCAGGGTCAAGATACTGCGGTGGTAGATGTAGGCTCGCCATCACACTGGAATCCCATCCATGAAATGAAATGGAAAGCCTGAAGAGAGGGGGCACAGGCTACATTGATATGACTCCCTCAAAGGCCCCAAATGTCTTTGGACCTAAGAAGCTGCTGAGACACATTTGTGTGTGTGCACAGAAATGGGTGTCAGCTTCCCTGGAGCTGGAGTCAACAGGCAGCTGTGAGCAGCCTGACTGTGGGTGCTGGGAGAGCAGGATGTGCTCTTAACCACTGAACCATCTCTCCAGCCCCGCCCCCAAGATACTTCTAATAGAGACTGAAACAACATTTACAAGCACGATTCTCTTACGTGCGTACTTGGAGGCCTCCGGAGCTCTGCCATTCACACTCCCTAGTAACCGTAGCAGCTTCCCCAGAAAGAAGTGCGGTGCTCCAGACAGCACCCACTTCCCAGGAGGACACCAGCGGCTGCACTCCTGACCTGGGCGCACAGACCTCCCGTTCCCCATTCTCCTCTCACTGCCCACCTCTGGCCTCGGCCCCCGAGAACTGAGGTGACAGGTACCACCGATCCTGCTTACACAGCTGTGTTCACGTGTGTGCCTTCTGTTCACTGAACTTTCCCTGTACACAGGCAGGGTGTGCACGACCTTTGCCTTGGCTGTAGTCCAACCTCAAAGCGTAAACATCTACGCATTACTTACTACTTCTTGATCTAAGCGTGTGACCATCTCTTCCAGTTTCTGGTGACCTTTTTTCAGATCTTCCTCTGTTCGTTTCAAGGCATTGAGCTCTGCCTGGGCACCATCCATTTCCTCCTTCATCCTCCATCTCAGTTTGTCACTGACTGCTGAGATGAGAGATGCCCGGATAGTGTCCTCACTGATTGTGCCGTCTCTGCTGGGACCTGAAGGAGATAAGGCAGAAACTCTGGACGCCAAGGCACAGGCACGTGTTCAGATCCAGAGCCCTCGGACTGTGCCACAGCCAACTGCAATCTGTGTCCTTTTGCTATAAGCAGCTGTAACAGGTGGATGGCAGCTTTCAGAGAGTCATGTAACAGAATGCTAGAACTGAACGTGGCCTCAGAACTGTTACACTCAAGACACCTGAGCACTTGCCCTCAAGTCTGACAACTCTCGCTCAATTTTTGGAACCCAAGTAAAAGCTGGAGGCTGTGACCCTCATCTGTAATTCCAGCACTCCTATCTTGACACAGGAGGCAGAGACAGAACTGGACAGAAGCCCAGAGAACCAGCTGCAGAACCAACCCGGAGAGATCCTGCTTCAACAAGGGAGACCAGTGCGAGCACACACAATTTACCACTCAATATGGATGGGAGGCTTTTCTTCACCTGCTAAATTATATCAAAGAGCTGTATGTCACAAGCCTCATTCTCACTTAAATAAACTGTTCAGGGGTTGGAGAACAGCTCCGTGATCAAGAGCACCCACAATCAGGCAGCTCATAAAAGCCTGTAACTTCAGGTACACGGGTTCTGACACCCTGTTCTGGTCACGATGGGAACCAGCATATATGTGGGGCGAGCGCACACACACACGAGCGCACACACACACAAACAAATAAACAAACAAATAAATAAATTACTAATGATATTAAAAGAGGCTTAACTATTCAGTCATCCGAACAGGATAAAGGCCAAATCAAAATCTCCACTAACCTAATTTATAAAGTTTTTTTTTTTTTTTTTAAAGGAAGAGGGGAGTCAGGCGTGGTGGTGCACATCTGAGATCCCAGCAATCTGAGAGGCAGAGACCGGCAGAGCTCTCTGAATTTGAGGCCAGCCTGGTCTACAAAGCTAGTTCAGGACCACTAAGGCTACACAGAGAAACCCTGTCCCAAAAACCAAAAAGAGAAAGGGGGGGGGG